TGGAAATCACAAATATACCGTGGGCCGTGTGTTATAGCGTTCACTTCGCGACACTCATTTGGAATGAGGCGGCGGCCAAGTATGAATCGTTTTAAAGAAAACCTCCAGCCTTGAATATGACGCTGCTCCTTACATTTATTGTTTATTTTTGGGCAAAGTGATTAAAAACACCCCCTCTAGCTTTTTCATGACTCTGCTCACCAAAACATGAAATAAGGACTGAGGAAACTTCAGGCTTAGCTTTGTTATTCCTTTCTTAGAAATTTAGGACATATTTTCACCATTGTCTTAAACAAAACAAAGCAAAACAAAAAATCCCCAAAAACTAAAAAAACGAAAACTCGTAGGGAATGAAATAAGGTAGTCTGAAATGGAGATGCTTTAGGGGAGAGGCACTAATAGGTAATATTTAGACTTGAGAGTTGGGGATTGTAGCAGTCGTCTCCCAAGACTCTGGGACCTGGGGTCCCAATGAAGACAGCGCAGCAAAATTGGGAGCCCTTAGCGCGGCTGTAAACGGCGTTGGGAAGCAAAGCCAGTGTTTTTATGGTAACCGTCGGTCTGTAGTCAGGGCTCGTTCTCATATTACATGAAATGTACTTTAAGGAGCACTACCTGCTCCAGCTGTCCAGGAAAAACTGAATTATGGAACTAGGAAACATATGGCAGTTGCATATTGCTCAAGGAAGGTACATATGACATATGGCAGTTGCATATTGCTCAAGGAAGGGACATTTAAAAGTTATAAATTTCTTTTTTAAGTAACCATTGTAAACGCATTTTTATAGGTTTCACAGTATGTATTACATCTGTCATTTTAATTTTTGCAATATACCTTGTGTTTGGGATTTTTTTTGTTGTTTTTTTAAAGATACCCCCGTTTTCTGTACCTCGGGGGAGGAAAAGCAGAGAGACGCGTCTGAGTAAGAAATGCTAGGAGAACAACAGCCCAGCTAGGTAAATAAGGCGGGGAGCGCTTTCCCTCCCGGCTGCTTGCCAATGGAAAGGACACTGTGCCATCTATTGGCAAAGGAGGTACTTGCAAAGCAAGGGGCACCCAAAAAACGAGGGGAAAGGGATAGGAACTCCCCCCACCCCCCAAAAAAAACCAAAAGCAAAACCAAAACCCCTTTTCTTCCCCTGATTTCTGTGCAAAAAACAAACCCCTCCTCGTTTTTGTACATCAGCTAGGGATAGGCTAGAAAAATGGAGAGCAAAGTGGGGTTGTGAATGCATACCCAAGACATTAGCTCCCGCAGCTCCTGGAGGGGCATTTTCCAGCTGGTTGTAAACTCTTCGCAGCAGCAGCGGGATCGCAGAGCCTTGGGCGTTTTATGGCGTTGCAAGGAAGCCGTGTCAAAAAGCGATTTGGATTTTAAAAGCACAGTCTCCCCCCGCAAACGCCCCTTCGGGAGAGCAAGGCTTGGGAGCCCCTGCCCTGCCCTGCCCTCACTCCCGCTGGCTCCAGCCAGGTTTGCGGGGCAGAAGCGGCCCTGTTCCTCCCGCGCCCCCTGGCAGCCGAGGAGCCGTCCCAGCCTGCTTGATCCGCTGCCGGAGCCTTGTTGCGATTGCTCTGGACTACAGTTTCCGGAGGATAGATAGAGAACAGTGAACCCGAGGGACTTCCAGAGGGCATCTAGTCCGACCCCCACCTAAGGCAGGATCAACCCCTACTCCCTCCTCGGCAGGATCTCACCCTCAGCCCTGGCACAAAACAGACTTAGCGCCTTGCCCTGCCGCTGGGTCGGGGGGCACTGGGCATCCCCTTCACTCCGGGTGCTCAGACGCAGGGCTGGTGCCGGGCAGGGAAGGAGAGCGAGCGGGAATCAACCGGGAAGGGCAGAGCGGCCCCGCTCTCCTCTGCGCTCACCTGGCGCCTCCCTGCCGGGCTCTGCGCTCCTCGCCGGACCGGGCTGAGGGGTCCTGGCCCGCCGGGCAGGGGACGCGTGCGAGCCCGCGGGCCGCACGGCACAGTTCCTCCAGCCCCAGCGGGGATCAGCAGGGATGTTCGGGTCAGCGCCGGGTGTCGGAGTTTTTTGTTTTTGTTTTTACCTGGCTGAAGATAAACTAGTTCACTGTTAGTCTGGGGAGACCGAAATGTACAGCTAAAGCGGCTGTGTTCATAGATGCATACCCGCGTGTGTGCGTATTTTGCGATTGTTTTTATACGAGCATCCACATCCACTTAAGCCTCATAACAAAGACTTGTATTTTCTAATTAGAAATACAACTAGAGCTACCTTCTTTTCCTCTCGAAAAGGGCAGTTTTAAATTTTTTTTTGTTGGATTTTTACCCCCTTTCCAGCTTATAAACCTTTATAAAAAGTCTAAAAAGTCTTTTCCTCTCGAAAGAAAGAAAGTAAGAAAGCAAGCAAGCTAGGAAATACAAACCATTATATAGATAATATGTACATTTTTATATATGTATATATATAGAGAGAGAGAGAGATCGATAGGAAAAAGCTAATTAGGACATACAAATAATTAGCTCGCTTGCTTGCTTGCTTCCTTCTACAGATAGGAAAAAAGCTACTTAGGAAATATATACACATACATATACCTATCCACACATGCATGCATGCATCCATCTATCCTGCCATTCATCCGTCCATCCTGCCCACACACACACACACACACACACACGTATGTGTGCGTATGTGTATACATATCTCTCTCTCCATCTATAGATAGATATATATGTATAGATATGTATACACATATGTATGTATGTATATGTATATATACACATCTATGCATATGCGTATTATCGTATATATACACATGTATATGAACATGCACGTGTCTCTGTCCACACACACGTATCATCCCGGTCTGCAGAGCGGTGCTGCCCCCCGTGCAAGCGGGCTGTGCTGCAGGAGCCGGCAGAGGAGGCGGAAAGGAGCCGGGAGGTTGTGGCGGGCGGGCGGGGCAGGTGAAGCCCCCGGAGCCGCCTGGCGCGGGCCACAGCCGTGCAGGTTCCCTTTGGGGGGCGGGATTGCTTGTTTCTTTTCCGCCCAGCCCCTGAGGACAGATGAAGTCGCCTCCCCGGAGCCCTTGCGGGGGCTGCCTGCCCGCCTGTCTCGTGCCACGTCCTGGCGGGGGGATTAGGTCAAACGGCGCTGGCACTGCCCGCGGGGCGGACTCCGCCCTTGCTTCACTTTGCTGGGGCTGGGGGTGCAAACCCGCTCCGTTTCACCCACCCACGCAGGTCTTTGCATCAGAGCCGGCGGCCGGGACCCCCGGGGGGCTCTTGTCCGCGGGCTGAGGGCGGAGGTTTCTTTTCTTTATTTTTCTCCTTCCTCCCGGAGCCAGGCCGAAGCCGACCTGCCCTGGGAAGGCCGCCCAGCCCCCGGTCTTCGCGGGGTTGCGGAGTTCAAGGTGGTGCACCAAGAGACACATAAGGGAGGACTCTGGGAGGTGGCTCGGGCCCTCTGACAGGTGGGCGGAAGCACACCCCTGCGGGGAGATGTGGCAGTATAGGTCACAGGCTACCAAGGGGCCACCTTGGGGCAAATAATTTTATCCTGGGATCCCGCAGACCTTGTGAACAGCAGTCCCTCCATTCCAAGATGATCTCATCCATGGGTCTTGAGGTGACTCAAAGAGTCCAATCCTTGAGCCACAGACCCACCCACAAAAGTTGCAGGTCTTTCTTCAGGGGAGAATAGGCCGTAGGCCAGGATTTCTCTCCTTTTCCTTCCTCTGTTCTTGCTTCTCAGCTTCCAGAGCAAGATACTTTACCTGGAAATGGGCTGGCGCTTGGTTGAGGTTGCAGTGCCATTGGAGTCGGTCAACAGCCAGCTCCTCACAGCTCTTGATGTCAGTATTCATTTTCTTGAAGCATGCCTTCAGTGTGTTCTTGTAGCATTTCCTCTGGCCACCACCAGATCTCACACCTTACTAAGCTGGGAGTCGAGCACTTCTTTTAGCAGTTGAGTTGAGCATCCAAGCACAATGTCTGGTCCAGCGAAGTTGTTGCTTGAGATTTACCGATTCAGTGCTGGTAATACTGGCTTCAGCTAGAGTGCCAGCGTTTGTGCAGCAATCTTCCCATTTGATACAGAGCATTTCCCAGAGGCATCACTGGTGATACCTCTCCAGGGTAGGGTTGCTAACTCTGTTTGAAGCTATTCTGGGAAGTTTCATCACATGATGTAATGACATTAATGACTTTACATCAGGAAGGCAAATGCACATTACTATTACATTTTGAAAACCCACTGGACAACAGTATAAATCAGATTCAACATTTAATATTTATTTTAATGAGTTCCCTATCATTTATCTCCCAAGTGACTTCTAGCAGTTTCCTGGAGATCTGTCTCTAATTCCTGGAGACTCCAGGGCAATCCTGGAGGGCTGGCATCCCTACTCCAGGGTCTTGAGATGATGACAGTAAGTCACCCACATTTCACATCCATAAAGGAGAGTGGTGATGAAGTAGATCTGAATTTTGGTGTCTTTCCTGAGATGGGGATGAGTTAAAGACATGCTGAAGCAATTTCCCAAAGGAGGCACTGTGCACTGGATCCTGTGCTGGATTTTCTCATCAAAGTTCATTATCTAAGAGAGATAGCTATGGAAGCGAGGAAAGTGCTTGATTTCTTTCAGTGTCTTTCCCTGGATGGTAGTTTGGGTAGAGGGTCACATTCATGACTTGGGGCAGGGTACAGACCTCCATGCACCTTGTCTCACCTTAAGTATCTGTGACCTATCTGAATTAACACTTTGCCCTGTGGACAATCAAGGCTAACTTGAGGTTATTGCCATTCAAGTTGCTGTGTGTCAGTGATTGTCCTCAGCCTGTTTTGATGGGAGTCAAAACCCTGGACAATCAGCCCAGGATTAAATCAGTCTGTTTTTAGCCCCACACACTATTCTTTGTGTGATATGTAAGGTTAGGCAATACCACCCCAGGACAGACAGGAGAGTGGAATATCTTTTTTCTCTTTTG